TTTTATCGATTTTGCAATCTGCGGTTTGCCGTCTGTCGAACAAATGATACGACAGTCTCATTTGTATGTCTGAGTGCAGTTGATCAGCGTGCGTCGTTTCAGTTCGAAAAATCTCATGCACATAGACAATGGACACTGCGCCACCAATTCGGACGAAATCGTTGCTGTGCAAGTTTTGCGTGTATTACTATCCGACCGGTTAGTAAATGGTCAGATGTCGACGAGTGTGAACGAGCAATAACCTTTGATGGCTATTGCTATGGCTTCATGTAGCCACTATGTCGTGTTACTCTTGTCCACTTCAAAGGGCACGCGTTGCTGTATACGACACACTAATAATGACGTACCGCGACCTACAGCTGACAACTTCCGTCACCCCACTTTACTATCACAATTTTAACTTTGACTCACTTGATTTACGACTTTCTCAATAGCAATTGACACAAATTGACCATTAAATTACCCATTAACATTATTAATATATAACTATTAGCTATCCCCAGAACCCACTATTTATATACTACAGATATCAATTTTTAAATTATTATCTTTCATAAAAATTACTTTAAAGAACCAAAAAAATAGGTATATTTACCTATATAAGAACAAGGCATAGTAACTTACACAAAGCAGTTGCATAGTTAGAGTTATGTTTTAAAGTGGGTTATATATACAAAATGTTTTTATTACCCCCTCCCACAAACATTACCTTAAACATATAATCATTTTTCCTGAGAGGATCTACCCCAGTTCAACTTTCTCCCTTCTGACACAAGGCAAAACCTAGCACTGGCACTGATTAATAATCATTTTTATTTTTAATCAAAATACACAATTATAATTTTTATTTTTTTGTAATATTTACCAAACGCTCTTATTTTATTTTAATATATAAAGATTTGCATCGAAACGTTTCTTATGATAGTGATTTTACTAGGTCTACACTTTGCTGTGAACCCAATGTACTAACGTTTTTAGCTTCGATGCGAAGCTGAGAAGGTATTGGTTTTACTAAGATGTGTTTTTTTTTTTATTTCTTATTTTTTTTTTTTTTTT